GGTCGTCGCCGTCGTCGCCGATCGTCGTCAATCGTGGTCGTCGTCGCTTGTCATTGTCGGATGGCGTCGGCGTCGTTTGTCTTCGTTTGTCGTCGCCGTCGTCATCGGTCCTCGCCGTCGTCGAGCATCGTCAATCGTGGTCATCGTCGACCGTCGAGATTTCGTGATCGGTCGTGTCCATCGATCGTCGTCGCCGTCGGTCGTCGTTAGTTGTGTCTGTCGTCGTCGTCGTCCTCGTCGTTGGTCGTGGTCGTCGATCGTCGATCGCCGTCGTCGACGTCGTCGGTCGAGGTAATCTCGTCGGTAGCTGTCGGTTGTAGTCGTCGGTCGTCGGTCGTCGATGGTCATCGCCGTAGTCGTCGTGGATCGACGGCGATCGACGACGACGGACATCGACGACATACGAAGACGACGACGACGACGACTGACGAAGACGACCGACGACGGCGACGACAACAACGACGACTACGATCGACGACGACGACGGCCGACATCGGCTCGAAGCCAATCGTCGTCGGTCGCCATCGTCGATCATCGTCGTCGGTCGTCGTCGGTCGTCGTGGTAATCAGTCGTCATCATCGTCATCGTTCCATCGTCGTCCGACGGCGTCGGTCGTCGTCGTCGATCGTCATCGATCGTCGTCCGCCGTCGTCGTCGGCTGTCGTCGTCGAAGCTGGTCATCGACGTCGGTCATCGTCGCCAGTCGTCGTCGTCGCCAGTCGCCGTCGTCGTCGTCATCGTCGTCGCTTGTCATCGTCGTCTGTCGTCGACGGTCGTCGTCGTGCCTTGCCGTGGTCGTGGACGATCAACCTCGATCGGCGTCGTCGTCGTTGTACTCCTCGTCGGTCGTCAGCCGTCGTCGATCGATCGATAGATCGTCGTTGTCGTCGGTCGTCGTGGGTCGTCATCGGACGACGTCGTCGGTCGTCCTCATCGTCGGTCGTTGTCGTCAATCAATGTCGTCGGTCGTCGTCGTCGGTCGTCGTCGTCGGCGACGATGGTCGATCGTCGTCGTAGTCGGTCGTCGTCGTCGGTCGGAGTCGTCGCCTGTCGTTGCAAATCGTCGTAGACGTCGATCGTCGTCGATCAATGGCGTGTTCGATCGCTGTCGTCGCCTGTAGTCCTCGTCGCCGCCGTCGATCGTTGCAATCATGTATCATCGATCGTCGGACGTCGTCGGTCGCTGTCGTCGTCGTAGTCGGCCGTCGTCGTCGTCTCCGCCGTTGTCGGTATCGTCGTTGTCATCAACGATCGTCGATAGTCGTCGTCGTCCATCGTCGTCGGTCGTCGTGGTCGTCGTCATTGTCATCAATCGTAGTCGTCGGCAGTCGTCGCCGTGATCATCTGTCGTCGCGGTCGTTGCCGATCGTTGTCGATGATCGTCGTCGCCGAATCGTCGTCGACCGAGCGTCGTCAATATCGTTGTCGTCCTCGTACATCGGTCGCCGTCGTCGATCGTCGTCAATCAAGGTCATGGTTGTCGTCGACGTCGATCGACGTCATACGTCATCGTTACCGCTGGTTGTCGTCGATCATCGTCGTCAACGTCGATCTTCATGGTCCTGATCAATAGTCGTCGTCGTTGTCGTCTGTCGTCGTCGTCGCAAGTCGTCGGTCGTCGCTGTCGTCGTGGATGATCGCCGTCGATCGTCGTCGATTTCGATCCAGGTCATTGATCGGCGGTCATCGTCGCCAGTCGTCATCGTCGATCGTCGTCGTCGTCGTCGGTCGTCGTCGGTCGTCGTCGTCGTCGCCAGTCGCCGTCATCGATCAACGTCGATCGTCGTCGTCGTCGGTCGGCGTTGGTCAGAGTCTTCGTCATGGTCGTCGTCGTCGTCGAGCGTTGTCAATCGTCATTATCGTCGTCGTTGGTCGTCATCGTCGCCGTCGGTCGTCGTCCGGCGTCGTCGTAGTCGGCCCACGTTGTCGTCGTCGTCGATCAGAGTCGCCGACATCGCTCGTGTTCGATCGTAGACGTCGTCTGAGTCGTCAGTCGTGGTCGTGGTTGTCATCGTCGTCGGCGTCGACCGTCGTCGTTGTCGTGGATCGTCATCTTCGTCGTCCGCGGCGATCGTCGTCGGTCGTGGCCGTCGACGTCGTCACCGATCGTCGCTAGTCGTCGGTCGTCGTCATCGTCGTTTTCGGTCGATCGTTGTCGTCGTCGTCGCTGGTCGCCGTCGCCGCCGCCGATCGTCGATCATCGTCGGTCGTCGTCGTCGGCCGTCAACGTCGGCGTCGATCGTCGATCGTCGTCATCACTTTCGGTCGTCTGCTGTCGTCGCCCATAGTCGCCGAAGCCGATCAACGCCGATAGTAGTCTGTCGTCGTGGTCGTCGATCGTGATGGGTCGTCGCAGTCGTCGTCGTGTCGTCGTTGTCGGTCGTCGTAGGTGGTCGTTGGTCGTCATCGTCATCAGAGGTCGTCGTCGTCGGTTTTTGTCGATCGTTGACGTCGTCGAACGTCGTCGATCGTCGTCGCGGTCGCCGTCGATCGTCGATCATTGATAGTCGTCGTCTGTCGTGGGTCGTCGTCGTCGTCGATCGTCGTCGTCACCATCGTCGGTCGGAGTCGTCTGCAGTTGGGGTGGTGTCGTCGGCGATCGTCGTCGTCGTCGGTCGTCGTCGTCGACGTCCACGTCGTGTCGTCATGATCGTCGTCGTCGATCGTCGATCGACAACCTCGTATCCTCGTCGTCGATCGTCGTCGGTCGCCATCGGTCGACGTCAGCGTCGGTCGTCGTCGGTCGTCGGTCGTGGTCGACATTCGTCGTCGTCAATATTCGTCCATCGTCGTCAGCGTCGTCGTCGTCATCCTTGTTGTCTATCGTCGTCGTTGTCGGTAATCGCTGGCCATCGTCGTCGTCGATTGTCACCGTCCTTCACGCCGTCGTCGGCGTCGATCGTCGTCGATCGGCGATCGGCGACCGTCGTTGTCGTCGATCGTCGTCGTCGTTCGTCGTCGTTGTAATGGTCGTCGTCCTTCGTCGTCGGTCAACTCTCGGCGTCGATCATAGTCCGTCTTTCGTCAGCGTCGCCTTTGTAGGTCGTCGTCGTCGTCGCCATCGTTGTCGATCCTCGTCGGTCGCCGTGGTCGGTCGTCGTCAGTCGTCGTCTGTCGTCGGCGTCGACATTCGTCGCCGATCGTCGTCGTCGATCGACGTCGCTGTTATCGTCATCGTCGTCGGCGTCGATCGTCGTCATCGTCGTCGGCGTCGGCGTCGTCGTCAACGCCGTCGTGGTCGTCGTCGTCGTCGTTCGTCATCGACGATCCTTGTCGTCGATCATCGTCGAGCTTCGCCATCGTCCGTCATCGTCGTCGATCGTCGTCCTCGTCGGTCAATGTCGTCGATCGTCCTCGGCGTGGTGATCGTCGCCAGTCGTCGTGGCCGTCTCTATCATCGCCGTCGTGATCGGCATCGATCGTCGAGGTCGTCGTTGTCGTCGGCAGTCGTCGTCGCCGTCGTCGATCCGCAATCGGCGATCGGCAATCGTCGTCGTCGCCGATCGTCGTGGGGACGTCGATCGTCGTGGTCGTCGATCGTCGTGGTCGTGGTCGTCGTCTCCGATCGTCGTCGTCGTCAAGCGGCGATCGGCGACGATCACCGGCTGCAGACTCTGAGGGGGCGGGACCCAGGCACTGGCGGCAGCGCTGCCGTCTGGGCCGGGGCAAGGCGCTGGGCAGGGCTCCTTGGCTGGGGAGGGGGCGCGAGGAGCCCGATGGCGGAGGCCGCACAAGTAGGTCCGAGTATCACGTTGCATCTTTGGGGGACCGCACAGTACGGCAAATGACGATCTCAGGCCTGCGATAAAAAATAGCTCGGTTTTCAGGCGCTCTGGGTCAGTTTTCGGTCACCACGTCGCCTCTTCAGCCTGACCTGGATGAAAATGGCTATGGCCCTCCCTCCTGCCAGCACGCGCTCGCATGAACAACGAAGGGAGGGGAAAGGGAGGCACTGCCGGACTGTGCCGCTCCACTTTGATGAGCCAACGCCGGACACGAGAGAATCTGTGACAAAAAACTTGTTCCTAACACAAATCCAGACCGACACATTTGTTCCTGGCTTTGCCTGTCCCGTGTTGCCGCTATCCGCGTCGAACCCACGTCGAATCTATGTCAAATCCATGTCGAGTCCACGTCGAATCTGCGCCGAGTCCGTGCTGAACATGTGTCGTGTAGCAGAAAAGGCAGCACATTGCGGGAAAGAAAACATAGGCCCGAAGATGCGTCGTAATGGACAGGCAGGGTCGGAGAATCGCACCAGAGAAGAGGACAAATCTGCGACACGCTCTCGCACGCTGTCGTCAGTTCGTGAAGGCTTTCCTGCCTCGGCATGCGCTCCAGCAGCTGCTCCTCGCCAAGGTGGGATGCCAAGAAGGTGCCCGAGTCGTCCGGAGCGGCCGCCAAAGACCAGAGTGATGTGCAAAAAACACGGTGTGGTCCCTCACCGGAAGCAGACGCTGCAGAATCGGAAGGGGAAGAATCCGCACAAACGGGGTCGGAGGATCGCGCCGCATCGCCGATGCGCCGCCGATGGACCGAAGACGCATCGGGGATGCATCGGCGACGTCGGCGATGCAACGGCGACGTCGGCGTGAAGAACGTTGGGCTCCACATCGAGCGGCATCGCCGATGCATAGGCGATGCGAGGAGGAGGAGGAGGAGGAGGAGGAGGAGGAGGAGGCAGAGGAGGAGGAGGAGGAGGAGGAGGAGGCGGAGGAGGAGGAGGAGGAGGAGGAGGAGGACGAGGAGGAGGAGGAGGAGGAGGAGGAGGAGGAGGAGGAGGAGGAGAAGGAAGAGGAGGACCCCGTGTGCTTCAACACCACGTGAGCGGCCTGGAGATGAGGAGGGGAGGCCAGACTGCGAGGCCGGGGCCTCGGCATGTCCACCGCCAGGGGGGCCGATCTCCGAGGACCCCCTGGCCCTGGGGGGCAGTGGAGGTGAACACGTTTGGACTCCAGGGGGGCCAGACTCTATGCATACCCAATGCCTCCCAAGGTCCACGAAGATCGATTCCCAGCTGTGGACGTGTATGAATAGCAGCCTCGGAAAGACCCCCTCGCGTCCAGGAAAGGATCGAGGCTCGAGGACGTGTTTTCAGGCTCTGGGAGGCTCCTCGACACCACGGCTGGATTCGCCCTGAAATTCTGGCCAGAACGCACCCTAAGATGGGCTTCGGAAGACATTTTTCACCTGCGGACCCAGAGCCCCTCCTGGATGGAGGGTCCTGGCCGGGCCCGGGGACGAGGTCCTGTCTTCTGGGATCCATTTTGTAAGAAAAACACGACGTTGGGGTTCGTCCCGAAGGAAGAAGAAGGAGTTTACACTCGAAATGCATGTTCTCGCGTCGTCGTAGTTCGGTCATCGTTGCGGCGATAACGAAGTCAACGATGCAAAGACAACGGCGGCGGCGAAAGCGGGCGATACAGACGACAACAACGGCAGGACGACTACCAACCAGTCGCGTTGTCGTCCTGCCGTCATGTCCTCGTCGTCGTCGTCGTCGTCCAATTTTGCCGACGCCAACGCAAACATTGCCGACGCACTTGCGTAAGCAAGCCATGCCCACAGAAACCGCTTCAAGCTCCTGCTCAATCCTCCTTTCTCCCTCCGTTCCCCTTTTCCTCCCTCCTCAATCCCTCCCAAACCCTTGCCCGAAATAGGACTGGCACCACCTCAGGGGAGTTCCTCCCCTCCTCCCTCCTTGCGGTCTCTCCTCTTCCTCCGCGTCTTACATCGGCGGTCGGCCTTGCGATCGAACATCGGACCACCGGAAGAGATGGGAAAAACTTCGCTAAACTGGCGTACCGAATCCACGACGGATCGTTTCCATGATACTTCGTTTCCGCGGCACGGAAGATTGGATGGTACTGTTTTACACGCGTGCTCGATATACGTTCATGGATATGAGTGGGGGACTATCTCAATGCTGCGCTATGTTGGATGGATTGGCCAATCGGCGAGCGGCAGCCACAATTTCTCCAGCGAGCTTGCAAATTCCAGCTGGAACCATCCACGGCGTAATATACTTGGTGGTCCTGGCAGGACTTGTTGGTTGGGAAATCCTCTCGGCATGTGTTGTCGGGTGTTTATTGATGACGTATGGTAATTGAATTAATTGTGTTGCCACGCGTTGCGGCGAACGTTCCCTCTGAGTGTGTGTGTGATGATTTGGGGGAACTAGCTGTTCCACCAGTATCGGTTCACAGTGGCAGAGAGGCTATAGCATATGAGTGGCTACTTAGATGTAATCCTGTCCATGTGTCAAGACTCGCGGGAAGATGGTGTCGATCAAACCTCGTATGTTGAGCTTCATCGCGTCACGGCGGCCGCCTCGATTTGGATATATGTTGATCCTCGCGCGCTCGAGCGCTGCCCCGAGATGCCCAATCTACGGGTTGCCCTCCGAAGCTTCGCCACTAAAGCTCCCGCGCTGCCGCCTTGGAGTCCCGCCTATCGTGCACTGGGGGCGCGCGCTGGCTGCTGGGGTGGGTCGGGGCTTCATGCGCATCCGCTAAGGTGTTTCGCCCTGGCAGCGGGCCAGCCCGAGGGGCGGGAATGGGCCCCCGCGCTGCTACTCTGTTGTGACCCGCCAATTCGTGCGCTGCGCGCGGCCGCGGGCGCCGAGGCAGCAGCGCCTAGTCCGGCACCTTCGAGGCCGACCCTGCGCCCTCCGACGAGCAAGACCGAAAAGAGCAGCGGCTAGCAGGACGACCCCGCCTCCACGAGGTGCCACCGTTTCGCCATGTGTTGGCCTCTGGGCCTCCGCGCTGCCGTCTGCGGGCCCCGCCAGGCCGCCAAGGAGCTTCCTCCCTGCAGCGTTCCCCTCCCCCCCCCCCGAAAGGCTTTCTGCTATCTGCGCAGGCCTGAGTGCACCCACTGGGCGGCGCCAGCGCCCTTCCAGCCTCCCGAAGGGCATCCTGGCACTCGCCACTAACGCTCGCCCACGTGGGCGCGAGGCTGGAAACAGAGCGCAACGTTGCAGCGCTGCTGCGTCGGCGCGCGCGCTTCTGACTTGGAACTGTCTTGTCGCTCGCATGGTCGAGCGTTTCGTCTCGATGTCTGGTCTTGTAATAGCCTTGGCGCCTGCTTGCCTGAAATGCTGGCTAGTTCAGACGATGGCGCCATTTGGGCGTACTGGCTTACCCGCGCGCGCGCGCGACTTCCTCCCATACCCTGGTACCCCATTTGGAATTGACGGCGCGAAGGCCCAAGCCGTCCACAACATGTCATGTATACGAATACCGGCCGACGTCTTGGCTCAGAATCGGCATGACACTCGTCTTGGACGAAACGTTCACATTGTAAGAGTGGTTGTTGTCGTGGCTGACACAATTCCGCGCGCCCTGTCGTTTGTGTGCTGTTGGCCGCCTGGTGTATCATTCAAGATACCCTCTTAGCTTCGGTCGGGTGGGCGAGCAGAGTCGTGAACCCCGTTGTTACCTTGGCCATAAGAGAAAAAGAGTCACCGAATGGTCGGCGCCCACCTTCTGTAATGCCGCGTCCCTCCTCCCATCGATCCCCTCCCAGCCTCGCATCGCCCTTCTTCCTGCTCCTCCTCCTCCTCCTCGTCCGCCGCCTGCTTCCTCGGGCCCTCTCCCCCCACTTCCCCGACTCATACTCCTCCTTTTCCTCCTCCTCCTCCTCCTCCTCCTCTCCCTCCTCATCCTCCTCCTGTCCTATCCTTCCCCTCCTCATGTCCCCTTCCCCCTCCTCCCCCATACTCCGATCCCCCTTCCCACTCCCCCCATCCCCCCTCATCCTGCCCCATCCTTCCCCTCCCCCCGCTACTCCCCCTCCGCCGCCGACTCCGACGACGACCATCGCGACGACCACGACGACGGAGACGATGACGGCGGTAAGGACCACAACGACGGCGACCACCACGACCACGTCCACGGCCACCACGACGACGACGACGAGAACGACGACGACGACGACGAAAACGACGACGACGACAACGACGACTACGACGACGACGGCGGCGGCGGCGGTGGCGGCACGACGTCGGCGGCGACGGCGGCGGGAATGACGGCGAAGGCGTTCAGCGGCGTCCGCGGTGGTGCCAACGACCCCGACGACGGCGACGACCACGACGACGGCAGCGAGGACCACGACGACGGCGAGGACGACGGCAGCGGCGAGACGTCGGCGGCGACGGCGGCGGCGACGGCGGCAGCGCTCGGCGGCACCCCGCGGAGGCGGCGGCGCGCCTTGTCCGGCGCGCCGCCGAACAGACCACCCCGCGCGCCGCCGCGGGGCACGCTCCTCTTGGGGCGGCGGCCCGCCGCGGGGCTCGCTCATCGCAGGGCGGGCACAGACGCTTCGGTGCTGCGGTGGCGGCCTTTCGACGAAACAAAAGACGAGGGCGTAGGGGCAGGACGCTCGAGCCCAGGGGCAGGCGATCGAAAATCGGAAGCCCACGAACGGACCGCACCCGAGACAGTGTTGAAGCTAGAGACAAGTGGACAAACACCGAATCCAAGGTCAACTCGGGGTCAGGAAGGGAGCGCAGGCGGGGCGGGGCGGAAGCGTCGGGCGCAGGCGGCTCCGCAAGCGCACCCAAGCCACCAGACGGCGCCCAAACGTCGGCCAGCGGCGGCGGCGGTGGCGGCCGCGGCGCCGGAAAACCGCCGAGAGCCCAGGAAAACGCCCGAAAGCCTGGAACCTGGGACCCGAGCCTCAGGCCGCCAGCGCGGGCCCGTCGGACACCACACCACGCGGATCGATCGCCCCTCGAGCGATCGCGGCGTGACGACGGCGCAGCCTTCTTCGGCAACTCATGTGATCCTCCCATACCATCTTGCTGGTTCTGGCGAACCGAGGCTGGTCGTCGCTAAAATCACGCTACTCAACGCTGCATCGGCGCTATCTCAGCGATTGCCAGACGCTCATAGAGACTAACGCTGTAAGTCCGCGGGCGCGAACTGGTCCGAGAAAGTGGACGCCGGTCAGCAAGCGGTAGGGTGCACCGGAAGCGAATTGAGGCACGAAGGAGAGTCTGCTCAGACCATGAAGGCTGGCGCAAATACGAGGGTGCACAAGGTTCTCTCTTGGCAGCCTCTGGCGGCACTCTTGACAGCCTCTGCGGGCGCTTTGGGACCTCGCTTGACGCCGTCTTGGAACCCTCTCGTGCCACTTGAGGGCGCTCGTTGCCTGTCTTGGCACTCTCTGGAGCCGTTCCCGAACCCTGGAGGAGGCCTCTTGAGCTGTCTTCGGACGACCTTGCAGGCATCTGGCGCCGTCTTCGAGCCATCTGAGGGCATCTTGGACTCCTCTATTGTCTTCGTAGTCGCTGCCTACAGGGTCGGCGGCATTGGCCGTAAGGCCTTCGCAATACGAGGGTGCACAAGGTCCCCATACATTGCTACAGTATGGCTTGATTGGAGAGGACACGCGAGAGGACACAAGACCCTTTCGAGGGCCACATCGCCACAGGAATGTACGAAGCAATGGGTCGCGAGACACAGGACACGAGGGTACCCTTGATCTGGCAGGGTCCGCCTGCGAATCCGGGCCGCCTCTGCCGAGGCAGCTCGTCCGGGGCAGCCGGGGGCGCTCGGCCTCGAGCGCCCCTCAGTCGCCGGGGTCGCCGCGCGCGGAGGCCGCGGCGCGGCGCGGGCCTGCCGCGCACAGAAGGCCGCCTCACCGAGGGTTCGGGGCTCGAGAGCTCGAGTGGGCAGGAAAGCAAGAATGTAGGGCCAAAAAGCACCCTCGCAAGATCATGACAGGGCTGAACCTGAACGGTGTTTTTCGCTTTCGTTATGTTTTCGTTCTCCCTCGCTTTTGTCTCGAGTCCGCCTTTACCGCAAAACGGAGTCGAAACGAAAACGGCCCTCGAAATCACCAAAAACACCGTTCAGGTGCAGCCCTGATGTAGAGCCAAACAACACCCTCATACTATCATAATACGCACCCCGACAAGCGGACCGTCTAGCAAACGCACCAGAAAAAGAAATCGAACAGGACAGTGCTGCTTAGTACACGCCCAGTGCCCTTGAGTTAACGCCAACTACGGGGGTCGGGGTGGTTCTTCCTCCGTGGAAGAAAGCAACTCACGGGAGCTGTTAGTCGTCCCCCCGGCGCCCAATAGATAGCGAATATCGCGCCAAAGGCGGACGTAATGCATCTCCCTGGGATGGCGCCATCGGGCACTGTTGGGCGCCATTTTGACGCAATTTGAACAATTTTCGGTGCCACTGGGCGCTGTTGGGCGCTAATTGCTGCTCTTGAATGCTATTGGCAGCTATTCGCCGATATGCGCTCAATCCAAGATGAGCGGATTCTTCTGTGACTTACTATCTAACGAATGCCTTGTACCAAACGGCATGTGAACAGGGAAAATATAATTAGAAGTGAATCAGGCCATCGCAATTTACCGTAAGCCGCCACTGACACCTCCCAATCGCCCGCAGCACCGCCCTCAGGGCGGAGGTGGCAGAATAGAGGTTTGCTTCGCGGGTCACGATAGTTAAAGAACCTCGAACGTGGTTCCCGGAACAGTGGGGTTTCAGAGTGGCGTCCAGGTTGGATGGCTATCAGGGCCCAACTCGGGCCACCGACCGTAGATAGAGGAGTTCTCAAAACGAAGAGGGCTCGCGGGAACCACGTCTTAGGTAGGCTCAAGCGCTACGTCGCTGTCTCGCGAGGTTCGAGCTTAGAGGCTCGGAGATCGCGATTCGAGGGATTCGAGGATCGAGGCTCACAGGTCGAGGGTTCGAGGGCCAACTCTCGAGGATCGAGGCTCCGGCTTGAGGCTCCAGGCTCGAGGGTCGAGGGTCCGCAGTCGAGGTGCAAGGGGTAGAGAGTCGAGGCTCGAGGGCTCGAGGTGCGAGGCTGGAGGCTCAAAGGTCGAGGCTCACGGCTCGTGGCTCGAAGGTCGGGCTCAAGGTGTTAAGAGCAGTCTGATGTTTGAGGGCTCCAGACGCCTACCAGGGACCTCAAGGGGTCTCAGGGGACCTTCGCGGAGTCCCCCGAAGGCCTTCCAGGAGAACTTGGAGACCTCTGGGAACCCGCGAGGCCCCCCAGAAGAGTGGAAACGCAAAGATCCTGGCGAACTGAACAAACAAATCCTCCCGTGGGCCCGTGGGGTCGCTGTTGTTTCGGCGCCCAGGGACTGGCTGGATAAAACCCCAAGAACCCAAAAATCCAACGTTCTGTGGGCCGGGCCCCGACACCGTCCAAAAACGACTCGGGATGCAAAACCAATCTTTAGAAACTGATCTCGGGGAACGTCAAAGAAACGGCACGGAATGAAAAACTGGTCCCCGGGTATGGGTCGAGAAGGCTCGAGGGCCCGATGCACTCGAGAGAAAAGCAGTCGTCCGAGGTCAGGCGAGGGAGGAGGGGACATTGAGATTGACAGCAACAACACGTTTGAGCGGGCCGAGGGGGGAAGGAAGGGGGAGGAGGGGGAAAGGGAAGGAGGAGGATGAGGAGGGGAAGGCGGAGGAGGATGGGGAAGAGGAGGAGGGTGAGGAAAAGGACGAGAATGAGGAGAAGGATGGGGGGAATGGGGAGAGGAGGATGACGAGGAGGATGGCGAAGAGGAGGGGGAAGGGGCGACATGCCCGGCCTGGAGGTCCGAACCTCCCTCATTAGCATCATCATCATCATCAGCAGCAGCATCATCACCATCATCACCAGCATCATGTCATCAGCATCATCAGCAGTAGCATCATCATCATCATCATAAGTATCACCATCACCGCCATCGCCACCATCACCACCATCATTAACATCATCATCACCACCATTGCCACCATCACCACCATCATCAGCATCATCATCACCGTCATCACCACCACAATCTTCATAATCGTCTTCCTCATCATCATCAGCATGGTCAGGATCAATATCATCATCCTCATCCCCATCACCATCCTCTCACCAACATCCGCATCTTCATCATAATCATCAGCATCACTATCACCATCATCAGCATCATCAACAGCACGCACCATCATCGTAATCGCCCTCATCACCATCACCATACCACCACCACCATCCCCATCGTCATCAGCATCATCATAATCAGCATCCTCAGCATCATCAGCAAACCCCATCATGATCATCAGCATCAGCAGCAGCATCACCATCGTCGTCGTCATCAACATCAGCATCATCAACAGCATCATCAACAGCAGCATCATCATAATGACCAGCTTCATCATCAGCAACACCAGTTTCATCATCATCATCATCATAAGCAATGATCCTCATCAGCATCATCAGCATCATTCTCTCAATCGTCATCAACAGGATGAGCATCAGCATTACCATCAGCATCATCATCATCAGTATCATCATCATCGGCGTCGCCATCATCAGCAGCAGCAACAGCGTCAGGCTCAGCATCAGCAGCATCATACTCATACTCATCATCATCCGCATCACCACCATCCGCATCACCATCGTCATCACCATCATCATCACCATCACCAGCATCACCATCTCAGAACCATCCTCATCGTCCACCTCATCATCATCAGCATCATCATGGGCATCGTCATTAGCAGCACATGTATCGACATTACCATCATCAACATCACCAGCATCGTCGTCATCGACGCCGTCACCATCGATGTGATTATCGTCATCACCATCAGCATCAACAGTATCATAAACAGCAGCATCATCGTCACCAGAGTCATCATCAGTATCCTTATGAGCATCATAATGATCAGCACCGCCATTATCACCAGCAGCATCATCCGCATCAGCAGCAGCATCGACATCATCAGAAGCGTCACCATCACCATCATCGCCACGGCCAGCATCATACTCATCATCGTCATCATCAGCCTCATCATCATCATCACTATCATCATCACTATCATCATCATCATCATCGCCACCCTCAGCAGCACCATAGTCATCACCAGCATCATCAGTATCATGAGCATCATCGTCAACATCAGCATCAACAGCATCAGCACCATCATCATCACCGGCATCAGAATCATCATCCTTAACATCGTCCTAATCGACACCATCAGAAGCACCATCATCATACGCATTATCGTCAGCATCAGCAGTAGCATCAGCATCATCATCAGCATCGCCATCACCATCATCATCATCACCATATTCATCGACATCGTCACCCGCAGCATCAGCATCATCATCGGCATCATAATCAGCATAGTCATAATCATCACAATACGCAACTTCATCAGCAGCAGCATTAGCATTGTCATCATCATCAGCATAACCAGTATCATCACCATCGCACTCATCATCATCATCAACATCAGCATGCTCAGCTTTATCATGTTTATCATCATATTCAGCATCATCATCATCATCATCATCATCATCATCATCATCATCATCATCATCGACATCGCAGTCGTCACCATCATCACCATCTCAGAACCATCCGCATCCTCACCAGCATCACCAGCATCACCAACATCATCATCAGCATCACCATCAGCATCATCAACATTAGCAGCATCATCAACAGCACCATCGTCATCCTCATCAGCATCATCATCGTCATCAGCATCATCATTAGAATAATAAGCATCACCACCACCATCATCATCGTCATCATCATCATCAGCATCATCGTCATCAGAGCATCATTTCATCATCAGCATCGTCATCATCGTCATCATCACAATCATACTGATCATCATCATCATCATCATCATCATCATCATCATCATCATCATCATCATCATCATCATCATCATCATCATCATCATCATCCACCTAATCATCATCATCACCACCACCACCATCATTAGCATCATCATCTCACCAGCATTATCATCATCGCCCCCTATCATCCTGTTCCTACTCCTCCTCTTGCTCCTGCTGCTACGCCTCCCACTCCTTCTCCTCCAAACCCTGCTCCCACTTTTGCTCCTGTTCCTGCCTCCTCCTCCTCCTCCTCCTGGCTCCTCCTCCCCCTTCCCTCCTCCCTCCTCCTCGGGCGTCCCCCCCCTCCACGATGGACGGCGGCGGCGGAGCGGAGAGCCGCGGCTCTCCTCGCGCGCCGCTCCGCGCCCGCCCGCCCCGCTGGCCTGGGCGCGAGGGGGGAGGGGGCGAGGAGGGAGAGCGGGGAGGGGCGGGGGCGAGGAGGGAGGGCAGGGGGCGAGGAGGGAGCGGAGGGGGGCGGGGGAGGGGGGGGGGGGAGGGGGGAGGAGGCGAGACGGGGGCGAGGAAGGAGGGGGGTGGGTGGAGGAAGGGCAGGCAGGAGGAGGGGAGGGGAGCGAGGAAGCGGGACGGCTGGTTTGGCAGTGGGCCGGCGCAAGGCCTCCAATCCCTTGGGCGCTTCAACAAGCAGCCCCAACCGCCGATGCTCACAATCATGATAAAACCACCCTTTGTGGACGAGATCAAGGTGGGAGGAGGGAGGTGGGAGGAAGAGAGGAGGAATAGCCAAAGGAGAAGACGAAGGAGGAAGGAGGAGTGACGTGAGGAAGGGGGGGAGGGGTAACGAGTGGAAGAAGAGAAAGGAGGAGTAACGAGCGGAGGAGGATGAGGACTAACAAGCGGAGGAGGATGAGGAGCAATGGGAGGAGGAGGAGAAGGAGGAAGTGGAGGAGGGAAGGCAGCACCCACCGGGACCTCATGCCACCAGGAGCCAGGAACCAGGAGGAGGAGCTCGAGAAATGCAGGCGCAGGTGCAGGAGCATGCAGAAGCAGGTGGAGCAGAAGGAGCAGCAGAGGAGGAGGAGGAGGAGCAGAGGAGGAGGAGGAGGAGGAGGAGGAGGAGGGCCAGTGTAAACCCAAGAGTCATCAACGATGTTGGAATAAACCGTCCCTCCAAGCTCCCTCTTCATAGGCCCCTTGAGGGAACTGCCTCATTGGACGACAGCCTGTTGAGGACCCTGGAGCATGCATCAGCATTATTCTCGGAATTCCAACGCCACGGATCAACCTTACTGTTGCGTCTTATCGATCCGAAATCATGTCAGAACGCCATTCTCCGCGACTCAACCTAACTGTTGCACCCGCATATACCTGAACCCTTCCAAAACACAACTTGAGGCACGCTGGTCATGGGAATACGTGAAACTATCGCACCGTGTATAAACGAATGTGCACGGCACTAACGCGAGAGCCACGTTTGAAAAGGAACCGCCCTCAATCCGTGAAACTCTTGCACATTTTTACAATGAATGCGCGCGGTGCTGAAGCGAGAACTACCTATTGGAAACGCCTCGCCCTCAATATGTGAAACGTTGCACATGTTCAAAACGAATGCGCGCGGCGCTCAGGCGAAAGCCACATGTTGGAAACGACTCGTCCTCAACCCGCGGAACTCCTGCAACAGTTTGAAAAGAATGTGCGCGGCGCTAACGCGAGAGCCACGTGTTGAAAACGGATCGCCCTCAATATGTAAAACCCTTGCACCTGTTTACAACTAATGCGCGCGGCTCTAAGGCGAGAGCCACATGTTGAAAACGACTCGTCCTCAATCCGCGAAGCTCTTGCATTGCTTGAGACGAATGTACGCGGCGCCAAGGCAGGAGCCACAGTTTGAAAACGGCCCACCCTCCATCTGCGAAGCTGTTGCCAACTCTTAAACTTCTAAGACATAAATGATGAGGCAGTCTCAGGCGAAACGCCCGGCCCGCCAAAAAAAACTGGCCCCGGGGTGTGACAGGGAGAAGTTATGTAGAAGGAACAGGAATGGAGGAGGCGGAATGGGAAGAGGAGAAGGAGGAGGAGGAGGAGGAGGAGCAGGAGGAGCATGCAGAAGGAGCAGGAGCAGAAGCTGCGCCCGCCTGGGTGGGAACTGGACGTACGGCGGGCACGCGCCCGCGGCGCCGCCGCAGCGGCGTTCGAAGGCGCAGACGGCGTGGGCAGTGCGCAGGAGCGCTTCTGCGCGCACCTGCCGAGGGATCGGGCCTCGTCGTCTGCCTCCTTTTCCTCCTCCTCCTCCTCCTCCTCCTCCTCATCCTCTTGCTCCTCCTCCTCCTGCTCCTCCTCCTCCTGCTCCTGCTCCTCCTGCTGCTTCTCGTCTTCCTGCTCCTGCTCCTGCTCCTGCTCCTGCTCCTCCTCCTCATCGTCCTCCTCCTGTTCCTGTTCCTGTTGCTGCTCCTCCTCCTCCTCCTCCTCCTTCTCCTCCTCCCGTTCCTCCTCCTCCCCTCCTCTTCCTCCTCCTCTTCCTCAACCTCCTACTCCTTCTCCCCCTCCTCCCCCTGACCCTTCCTTTCCCGCGCCGCCCGCACACTCCTGCTCCTCCTGCTGCTCCTCCTGATGCTCCTCCTGCTGCTCCGCCTGTTCCCGTTGCTGTTTCTGCATGCAACTGCCCCTGCGCATGCAGTTCTTGAGATTCTCCTACTCTTGCTTGCTGACGCAGCGCAGCGCAGCGATCCCAGCTCAAACCCCGAGCCTGCGCGAGCCCGCGGGACGAGGCTTACGCAGTGGCGGGGCCCGGGGACGCCGCAGGGACGCCGCAGAGGGCCCCCCCCTCCCCCTGCTGCCACTCCTCCTGCTTCTCCTGCTCCTCCTGCTCCTCCTCCTCCTCCTCCTCCTTCTCCTACTCCTCCTCCTCCTCCTCCTCCTCCTCCTCCTCCTCCTCCTCCTCCTCTCTCCTCCTCCTCCTCCTCCTCCTCCTCCTCTCCTCCTCCTCCTCCTCCTCCTCCTCTCTCCTCCTCTCTCCTCTCTCCTCTCTCCTCTCTCCTCTCTCTCCTCTCCTCCTCCTCCTCCTCCTCCTCCTCCCTCCTCCTCCTCCTCCTCCTCCTCCTCCTCCTCCTCCTCCTCCTCCTCCCTCCTCCTCCCGCCTCCCTTCGCCTCCCCCCCTTTTCCGCTTACTACTCCTCCGCCTCCTCCTCTCATTATCCTGTCATTGTCGTTCTTATGAGGAGTTTCAATTAGCCTTATGATTGTTATTGTGCGTATTAGTTGCACGCGTCTGTTTATTATTCGTGTTCGTGTTCGTATTCTACCCATATTCATACTTCTTAGTATGCTTATACGTGGTCAGGTTATCAGTGGTATTGATTCTAGTTGCTCGCATTAATATTCGTATTCGTATTACTCGTTAGTAATATCACTAAGATGATTCCCCTTGATATTCTTAGTCACATTCTAAGTAGCACCAAAGTGTTGGTAGGGTGCGTCCCCGTCTTGTTGTTAGTAGGTGTATTATTGTATTGTGCGTCGTAGTACTAAAGTTAATCGTTGTGCGTCGTAGTCCTTCTTCATTGTCGTCGCATTCGTATTATTAGTATCATCACTACTCGTCGAACTATTAGTGATAGTATCCGTCGTACTCATTCTTGTATCCAACAATCCTGTGGTGTTGGGTCCTCAATTTGAAGAGACAGCGCCGCGCATCCCTCCTCCTCCGCCTCTCCTCCTCCCCCTCATCCCTCCCTCCTCCCATCATCATCATCATCATCATCATCATCATCATTATCAGCATCGGACTCACCATCGTGATCGTCGTCGTCAACATCAACAACATCATGGCCGTCATGAGCATCACCATCATGGCCGTCATCATCACGTTCATCATCATCATCATCACCAGCATCGTCATCGTCGCCGTCACACCCCTCACGCGTTCCGTGGCCCCATAGGGAGCTCCACCCAAGGTCACAGCGGCGCAGTCCGCATGGCGCCGCCGCCCCATGTTGGCACACCCCACACACGTTCCGTGCCCCTATAAGAAGCTCCACCTAAGGTCCCAGTGGCGCAGTCCACATGGCGGCGCCGGCCCATCTTGGCACACCCCTCACACGTTTCGTGGCCCCGTAGGGAGCTCCACCTAAGGTCCCAATGGCGCAGTCCGCATAGCGCCACCGCTCCACTTTGGCACACCCCTCACACGCTTCGTGACCCTATAGGGAGCTCCACCTAAGGTATCAATGGCGCAGCCCGCATGCCGCCGCCGCCCCATTTTGGCACACCCCTCACCTGCTTCGCGGCCACATAGGGTGCTTCACCTCAAGTCCCAGTGGCGCAATCCGCATGGCGGCGTCGCCCCACTTTGGCGCACCTCTCACACGTTTCGTGGTCCCATCGGGAGCTCCACCCAAGGTCCCAGTGGCGCAGTCCGCATGGCGGCGCTGCCCGATTTTGGCACACACACACACACAATCAAACCTCACTCGTTTCGTGGCCCGATAAGGAGCTCCACCCAAGGTCCCATTGGCGCAGTCCACATGGTGCGTGGACCCAAAGGGGAGCTCCACCTAAGGTCCCAGTTGCGCAGTCCGCATGGCGGCGCCGCCCAATGTTGGCACACCCCTCACGCGCTTCGGGACCCCATAAGGAGATCCACAGAAGACGATACGAACAACGACGACGCTCACACCTGCAGTTCGCTGGTTCCTTCGCAAGGCCGGCTAGTAGTAGTATCATTATCTTCATTTGTATTCGCCTCAACAATATTATGTGTCTTCTTTCTAATCATAGTACTAGTATTGTTCTTCTAACCATCAATACGCTTCTTCATGGTTATTATGTGTCGTCTGCTCCATCCTCATCATCCTCCTCCTCCTTCCTCCTCCTTCTCCTCCTCATCGTCGGTCCTCATCTCATGTGTCTGTCTGCTCCATCCTCACTCCTCATCCTCCTCCTCCTCCTCCTCCTCCTCTCTCCTCCTCCTCCTCGCATCAGCATCAGCATCATCAGCATCAGTCATCATCATCAGCATCATCATCAGCATCAGCATCAGCATCAGCATCAGCATCAGCATCAGCATCATCATCAGCATCAGCATCATCATCATCATCATCAGCATCATCATCATCATCAGCACCATCATCATCATCATCATCAGCATCGTCAGCATCATCAACATCAGCATCATCAGCATCATCAGCAGCATCAGCATCATCACCATCATCATCATCATCATCAGCATCATCATCATCATCATCATCATCATCATCATCATCATCATCATCATCAACGTCATCATCATCATCATCATCAGCAGCATCATCATCATCATCATCAGCAAACTCATCAACATCATCGTCATCATCATACTCATCATCATCATCATCATCATCATCATGATCAGCATCATCAACATACTCATCATCATCATCGCCATCAGCATCCTCATCATCATCATCTTCATCATCATCAACATCATCATCGTCATCATCAGCATCGCCATCATTGTCATCATCATCAGCATCGTCATCATCATCATCATCAGCATCATCATCACCACCACCATCACCAATACCACCATCATCATCATCATCATCATCATCATCATCCTCATCATCAACAGCATCATCATCATCATCATCATCATCATCATCATCATCATCATCATCATCATTGTCAGCGTCATCATCATCATCATCATCAGCATCCTCCGCATCAGCATCACCATCAGCAGCATCGTCAGCATCATCATCATCATCATCATCATCATCATCACAAGCATCACCATCATCAACATCATCATCAGCATAACCATCATCAGCAGCATCATCAGTATCATCCTCCTCATCATCATCATCAACGACAACATCAGCATCAGCAACAGCATCATCACGTTCACCATCATCATCACCAACATCATCATCAGCATCGTCATCATCATCAACATCAGCATCATCATCATCATCATCATCAGCAGCAGCATCATCATCATCAGCATCAGCATCAGCATCGGCATCATCAGCATCATCACCATCATCACTCCCCCCGGCCCATCACTCATCATTGCTCCTCCTCGCGCTCACTCCTCCTCCTCCTCCTCCTCCTCCCCCTCCTCCCCCTCACCCTCCTCCTCCTTACCCTCCTCCTCATCGTTCTCATACTTCGGGGGCGCGCAAACATAAATCAGCGATCCATGGATTTGGCGCGCGGTCGCCAACTCCATGGATCGGGGGGAGGTGCCATCCCAAAAATGCGGTCGGTGCCGCCCCGTTCGGCAGCGGAAATCCTCGACTTCCCATGGAAACGGGAACCGTCGCTAATCCACGCCCGATCGCATGAATAATTCTCATCCGCTACCCCCATCCCCTTCCTCCTCATCCTCCTCCTCTCCTCCTCCTACTCCTCCTCCTCCTCCTCCTCCCCCTCCTCCTCCTCCTCTCCTCATCCTCCTCCTCCTCCCCCTTCGCATCCTCCTCCTCCTCCTCCGCCTCCTCTGCCTGTGCCTCCTCCGCCTCCTCCTCCTGAATATCCTCCTCCTCCTCCGCCGCCTCCTCCTCCTCCTCCACCTCCACCTCCACATCCACCTCCCGTTCCGCCTCCCCCTTCGTCTCCTCCTCCTCTCCTCCTCCTCCTCCTCCTCCTCCTCCTCCACCGCCTACTCCCCATCCTCCTACGCCTCTCCTCCTTCTCCTCCTCCTCCTCCTCCTCCTCCGCCTCCTGATCCGCCGCTTCCAGCTCCTCCTCCTCCTCCCTGCCTCCGCTTATTACTCCTCCGCCTCCTCCTCCGAATCCTCCTCCTCCTCTTCCTCCTCTTCCTCCTCCTCCTGCGCCCCCTCCTCGTCAGCATCACCATCACCACCACAAGCACCATCATCAGCATCATCAGCATCATCAGCATCATCATCAGCATCATCATCATCAGCAGCAGCATCATCATCAGCAGCATCGTCAGCATCGTCATCATCATGATCATCACCATCAGCATAATCATCATCATCACCATCGTCATCATCGTCATCATCAGCAGCATCATCAGCATCAGCATCAGCATCATCAGCAGCAGCTGCATCAGCAGGAGCAGGAGCAGCAGCAGCATCATCGTCGTCATCATCATCAACATCATCGTCATCGTCATCGTCATCGTCATCGTCATCATCATCAGCATCAGCGTCATCACCATCGGCATCCTCATCAGCATCATCATCATCGACATCATCAAGTGCGGCATCATCATCAGCAGCATCGTCATCATCGTCA